CCAGACCCGCCTGGGCGGCTCAAGGCTGAACATCATCATCGTGGCCGAGGGCGCCATCAACAAGCAAGGCAAGGCCATCACCTCCGACGACATTAAAACCGTGAGCGGGGAGGGGAACCCCCCTTTTTTTTTCCCCCCCGTCCCTTTCCCGGCCCCGCTGCGGGGCCGGAGCCAGGCGCAGCCCTGTCTTGCAGCTGGTGGTGAAGCGTTTGGGATACGACACCCGGGTCACCATCCTGGGCCACGTCCAGCGCGGCGGGACGCCCTCCGCCTTCGACCGCATCCTGGTAGGCAGCTCCCTCCCACGCGGCGCGATGCAAACACATCCAACGTAAAGCAAACCCAGCTGGTTCGATGCAAACCCATCCAGTGTGATGCAAAGTCACGCGGCCCGATGCAAACCCGGCCGGGCGCGATGCAAGCCCGGCCCGTGCAGTGCAAACACATCCAATGTGGTGCAAACCCACCCAGCGCGGTGCAAACGCATCCAATGCAATGCAAACCCAGCCGGGTGCGGTGCAAACCCATGCGGTGCTGTGCAAACCTGGCCGGCGTGGTTGCAAACCTGGCGGGCGCAACGCAAAGCCACGCGGTTGCGATGCAAACCCGTCCAATGCAGTGCAAACCCAGCCGGCGCGGTGCAAACCCAGCCGGCATGGTGTAAATGCAGCGGGTGCGATGCAAACCCAGCCGGTGCGGCGCAAAGCCAGCGGGTGCGGTGCAAACCCAACCGGCGTGGTGTAAATCCAGCCAGCACAGTGCAAACGCGGTGGGTGTGATGCAAACCCAGCCAGCACGGTGAAAACCCTGCCGGTGCAGTGCAAACCCAGCCGGCGCGGTGCAAACCCAGCCGGCGCGGTGCGACGCAAACCCAGCCGGCGCGGTGTGACGCAAACCCAGCCAGCACGGTGAAAACCCTGCCGGTGCAGTGCAAACCCAGCCGGCGCGGTGCAAACCCAGCCGGCGCGGCGCAAAGCCACGCGGCGTGCTGCAAACCCACCCATCTTTGCTCCCCGCAGACCCAAGACGTGACGACGGCGATGAACGAGGGGCGCTTCGATGAGGCCCTGAAGCTGCGGGGACGGTGAGCGTCCGCACCCCGTCCCCGGCGGGGACTCGGGGCTCCGGCCACCCCCCGGGGGCTCCCACACCCGCCTTTCCCCC